AGGGAAAGAATGGCAATGATGAAAAAGCACCAGGAGAAAAAACACAAGCATAGTAAAGCTGGTAGAAATAGTCAGAGAACTTAACAAGGTGTCATTTTAGCAAAATCACAAGGTGAGGAAATGAAGTCAGTCATGTGGCTTTCTGACAAAGGAAGTCTAAAGCTAAGAAGTGTAGGGAAGGCGACCAGCAGGTCAGACAGAACCACAAAAAAGGTAAAGAGCAGAAGAAATTTGGGGTTGAGAAATGTTGTTAATACAGCCTTTAAGCCAATGTAAGACAATTTTTTTTATTCTGAGAACAACAGCAACTTACAAGTTGTTCCTTTGCAAAGAAAGTTTGGTGGTGGTAGCTTATTTCTGCAATCCAAAATCCTAAGGAGTATGAGATTTAAGGACTACAGTTCGAAGCCAGCCCCAGGCAGACAAATCTGTAAGACCCCTATCTCTAACTAGTAAGATGCTAGAGTGAAGCTTGTCATCTTGAGACTGTTGTAGATATGTATGAGTTACTCATGTTTGACTGGTTGCCTATCAGTTCTCAAGAGTCATGAGGAGTACACGGGGAAATGCGGAACCAGATATGGGGCTTGTGTCATTTGAGGATGTGTCTGTGGATTTCACTTGGGAGGAGTAGAAAACTTAGATGATGCTCAGAGAAACTCTACAGGGATGTGATGCTGGAGTTCTACAGTACAGAAGGCCTGGTGTCCTTGGGTCATTGTGTTATCAAACCTGACATGATCTTCAGGTTGAAGCAAAGTTGTGGGCCATGATAGTAGAAGCAGTGGCAAACTGGAGCTACCCAGATGTCCAAAAAGAAAATGACCTGAATGAGACCAGTCATGAAAATCAGAGAGAAGTTTATGGTAATAGCACATCAAGTGAAAAAGTTAGATTCAGAAACATATTTAATGTGAGCCCAAATCATGCTTGCAGTGTATCTTAAAGAATAAAAAGTCTTCAGAAATGAAGCCCAAGGCACTTAATGTATGGCAGAAGATGCATCTCTCTACTGAGTCTGGTGAGATGAAAGCTGGAGAGGAACTTGAACTCGAAGGCCCTCAGACATTCTGAGCATCTTACTGTGCCTAACAAAATTCAAGGTGTCCAGAATATTGACTTGAATGAAAATTAGGAGACATTGGTGGCACCTTATAATTATCAATAGCAGCTTATCAACTAAAGAAAGAGTTGAGTTTGGAAAAATATTTAATGGGAGTTCAAGCCACAGAAAATTAAATCTCAAGGAATGAGTCCCAAGGGATTTAATGGATAGCATAATGTGCTTTACCTTTGTGAGCTTTATGAGATGCAGGCTGGAGAGAAACCTTTTAAGTCTCAATGTAACCAGGAAGCCCTCCTCAGACATTTTGAGCCTTTTAGTTTAGTTTAGTAGGAAGATTCAAAGTGAGCAACCACGAATTCAGTATTATGGACAGGAAAAAGTCGTCAGTATGAAAGCTTGTGGACCCATAGACATTTTATGATACCTCCACAAAGAAGTCAGTGAATATGAGAAAGCCTTTGATAAGGTATCTTTTATTGCCCAAAAAGAAAAGGAGGGAGAAAGTTTTTGAGTATGTGATAAAAATGTTCTGTACAACATCTATACTCACTAAACATGAACTTGAAGGAGAGATGTGTCACAATGGTAATTTTAAATCAACCTTCATTAAGAAATTACATCCCAATGAGCCCAGGTGGTTCACACATGTAATCCTAGCTATTCAGGAGGCTGAAATCTGAGGATTGCAGTTCAAAGCCAGCCCAGGCAGGAAAGTCTGTGAGCTTCTTATCTCCAATTAACCACCAGAAAACTGGAAGTAGCACTGTGGATTAAAGTGGTAGAGGAATAGCCTTGAGCAAAAAAATCTCAGGCACAGGCCCTGAGTTTAAGCCCCACATCAGACAAAAAAGCAAAGGCAAAGATATTGCATTTTTCAAAATATCTCAGAGAATGCATGTGGGGGGAAGGGGTGAAAGCCTTACTGATGTGGTGAACTTGAGAAATCATTTTTTCAGAAGTCAAAACTAAATTCACCAGAGAAACCATGGGAGAAACTATATGTGGTAAAAGTGGGTTTTTTTTAGCAAGATATCAAACTGCAAAATACAGAGAATTTACCCAAGTGGTAAACTGTGAAAACAATATTTCTTTAACAAGTTAAATACACCCAAATAAGTATAAAATTTCAAATGTATCTCATCCCTCCTAGTATATCAGAGAATTTATAAAGCTTATAAATGTAAAGATCAGGAAAACTTTCAAGCAAGTCACACTTCCTTATACATCAGAGAACTCACACAGGTGGGAAACCCTATAGTATAATGTATGTGGAAAAACCTTTTACTGGAAGAAAAACCTCAACATCAGAGAACTCATACAAATGAGAAACTATTAATGTAAAAAATGTAGAGAAACTTTCAACCACAAGTCATCTGTCACTGTACATCAAAAATAAGAAACTATAAAAATGTAATGTATGTGCTGGGCTGGGAAGGTGGCTCAGTGGTAGAGCGCTTGCTTTGCATGCCAGAGGCCCTGGGTTCAATTCCTCAGCACCACATAAGAAAAAAGCCGCAAGTGGCGCTATGGCTCAAGTGGTAGAGCGCTAGCCTTGAGCTGAAGAGCTGAGGGACAGCGTCCAGGCCCAGAGTTCAGGCCCCACGACCGGACCTCCCCCCCAAAAAAATGTAATATATGTGTAAAGACTTTTAACCTGGAGTCAAACCTCCACTTACATCAGAGAACTAAGATAGCTGAGAAACCCTGTGAGTATAACAGGGCAAAGTCACAAGTCAGACCTCAGAGAGTTTAAACAGACAACCCTAAAGTGGTAATAATTTAGTTTTTGTTAAATGAGATGTCCCTGGCCCAAAAATAGGTTCACATTATTTTGTAGTTTTACCTTTATGATTCCTTCCCCCAATAAATTAACTTGAGAATAAGAGGTGATAGCAAAGGTCAAAAAAACTCAGAGTAGAAGTGTTGGCTCAAGTGGTAGAGCACCAACAATGAACCAGAAAAATTGAGCTCTTGTCTGAGACCTTGAATTCAAGCCCAGGTACCAGCACAAAAAGGGGATGGGGGAAGGAACATACTTTTCAGAGGCAAGTTTCTAGCACAGAAAATTCCTTAGATGATGTTTGTGACAAAAATTCCATATATAAATTGTAACTATCAACTTAAAATGATTATAAAGATGCCTAATTAAAAGGAAAAGGAGCCAGGAACTGGTGGCTGATACCTATAATCCTAGCTACTCAGGAAGCTGAGATCTGAGGATTGTGGTTCAAAGCCAGCCAGGACAGGAAAGTCCATGAGACTTTTATCTCCAATTAACCACCAGAAAACAGGAAATGGTGCTGTGTCTCAAAGTAGTAGAGTGCTAGCCTTGAGCCAAAAAGCTCAGGCAAGGACAGTGTATAGACCCTGAGTTCCCCCAGAACCGACAATTGAACTTTCTTGGTTCTTTACTAAATTTCAGCAAGTGTGTCAGGGAATAAGTAATTCATAAAGAAAATTAACAAAATTAATTGGATCCATATCTAAATATATTTAATTCTATATGATCATGAAATTTGAAATAAAAACCAGGTATGAAAAATTTTATGAATTTACAATGTAAAATTCTTTTTTTTGTTGTTGGTTGTGGGGCTTGAACTCTGGGCCTGAGCACTGTCACTCAGCTCTTCAGCTCAAGGAAAGCGCTCTACCACTTGAGCTACAGCGCCACTTCCAATGTAAAATTCTTTTTTTTGGGGGGTGGGGAGGGTCTGGTCGTGGGGCCTGAACTCTGGTCCTGGGTGTGCTGTCCCTGAGCTCTTCAGCTCAAGGCTAGCGCTCTATAACTTGAGCCACAGCGCCACTTCTGGCTTTTTTCTTTTTGCTTATGTGGTGCTGAGGAATCGAACCAGGGCCTCAGGCACGCAAGGCAAACGCTCTACCACTGAGCCACCTTCCCAGCCCCCAATGTAAAATTCTTACATATACTATCTGATGAGATCTCCATAGAAAATTTCAGCTCTTCTGTGCCTAACAAAATGTCAAAAGAATGATATTACTCCAATTTCCCTATGCATATATCTGTTCAATATGGCAATACAAAATTAAGTCAGGTGTAGAGGTGCACACCTATTACCCCAGCTACTTGCAAGGTGATGGCAGGAGGTGAAGGTAAAAGAATTATAAGTTGAAGGCAAGTCTGGACAAAGTTAGGGAGATTTAGACTCGAAACAAAAGAGTCAAGGAGCATGGCTCAATTGGTGGAGGCTTGCCTAGCATGGGTGAGGCAGTAGCTTCAATATCCAGTGATGAAAAAAGAAAACAATATCAACTTAACTATGTGTAAGCTTTCCTGAAAATCATTATTAACCTGACAATAACAAGAATATTTCTAAGGTCTGTTTGATTGTTTATTTTAGGACAATGAGCACTCTGATCATAACAGGAGCTACTCGGTAAAAGAGATGATTAGTATTCAAATCATAAAACTTGAATAATTTAGAAAGAATTAAAAATAAAGCAAACTTATTTAAAAGCAATTTTACAGACCCTTAAAAAGCCATGAATCCTGACAACACTGCCTTAAAAATATATCTATAGTGACTGTTACCACCTATCCAGCTGCACTTGGTCTGAGCCATCCTTTCCCCTTCCTTTGAAGAAATGCAATCATCTCCTAGTAACTCTCCTACTAATTCTCTATGTAATGTCTTTTGTAAAACTTATTCACTCCTATTATGTTGATCTCCTTTTCCATAGCACTTACCATCTTTGAACATAATTTGCATTCACTGCCTGTTTATTATAGTATGACCTATACATGGGAAGCAACTGTCTGTTCTGTAATGTAGTCTAAAAACTCAAAATAGGCCATCTGGTCAGAATTTTAGAGTAAATAAACATATAGCTTACAAAACAATTATTAAGAACCAAATTTCATAGGAAAAGCCAATTATGCTTGAAATATTGTGATAAAGTATACACATTACCATACCAGATAAAATAAGCAGTTCAATGATTTCTGCATCTCCAAGATAGGCAGCAGCATGTAATGGTGTTCTCTTTTCATTGTCCTGTGATAACAAGGAAAGATAGAAAATCATTTTAAAAATAAAGCTAATTTTAATACACTAAGTGAAGAAAAAAAGTTATTACAATGTTATTTCCACAACTCAATTAATAAAACACAGACTATTCTTTTGCCAAGTAAATGAAAACCTCTACAGTATGGGGAGGTGAGGGTGGAAGAACTTAACAATGGCTTTGGTTGAGCATGTCTATTTTTAAAATCTGAAATATGCTAAATGTGAAAAGCTTTTGAGTGCTGACGTGACACCACAGCAGAAAATTCCCTATCAAAAAATCTTGCTTCATGTCCCAAAAATTATTTTAAAATATCTTGTAAAATTACCTTTGGAAGCCTATGTGTAAAAAGAACATATTAAATAAAAATAAATCTCATAGTCAGACTTAGGGCTCATACTCAAGAAATCTCATATGTAAATATTCAAAATCTGAAATCTGGAACAATCTGCTCCCAAGCATTTGGGTAAAGGATACTCAACATGTATAATGTGTATGAAAGAGTAATTAGATGACAAAGGAAGTCTCTTACTTTCTTTGAACAATGAATGTTGATTATTTCGCATACCACTCTTTTCTTTTTGCCAGTATATTACAATTTTACAGTTTACAACTGTAGACTTAAATAAACACAAATTTAACCTCAAAGATTTGCTTATAAAAATGTTTACAAGAAGTACTCATAATGGGGGCTGGGAAGGTGGCTCAGTGGTAGAGCGCTTGCCTTGCATGCATGAGGCCCTGGGTTTGATTCCTCAGCACCACATAAGCAAAAAGAAAAATGCCAGAAGTGGCGCTGTGGCTCAAGTGGTAGAGTGCTAGCCTTGAGCTGAAGAGCTGAGGGACAGCGCCCAGGCCCAGAGTTCAGGCCCCACGACCAGACTCCCCCGCCCCGCACCCGCAAAAAAAAAAAAAAAAAGAAGAAGTACTCATAATGGCATTAAGGAAAATGTCTCTGAGGATTTGGAAGCATCCTTTCAAACAATCTTAAGGTTTTTCTTTATGTTCCTGCTGGTTCTGTTTTCATAGTCAACCAATTCCCACCCACCCCACCTCCACTGAGGAGGGGGACACTATACCTGAGCTATTTTGCTCAAGGCTATCAGCCTCTACCAAGTCAGACACACTTTAGTTTTTCTGGTAGTTAATTTGAGATTAGAGTCTCATGGACTTTCTCCTGCCTGAGCTGGCTTGGAACAACAATCCTCAGATCTCAGCTTCCAGAGTAGCTAGGATTATAGTCATGAATCATAAGTAATCAGCCAGTGTCTGTTTTAGTATTTAAAAAGTACGTATTACCACCTCACCCCAGTTAGAATGGCTATAATCAAGAAATCTAATAACAACAGATGCTGGAGGGGATGTGGAAAGAAGGGAACCTTACTACACTGTTGGTGGGAGTGTAAATTTGTTCAACCACTTTGGAAAGTAGTATGAAAGTTCCTCAAAAGATTCCATATAGAGCTCCCCTATGACCCAGCAATCCTACTTTTGGGCATTTACCCGAATGATCACAAACAAGACCATACTAAAGCTACCAGAACTATGTTTATTGCAGCATGATTTACATAGCTAAGATATGGAACCAACCCATATGTCCTTCAGTAGATGAATAGATCAAGAAAATGTGGTATATATACACAATGGAATTCTTTTTTTTTTATAGAGCAAACAAAATTTTATTTTTTAAAAGAGATGGAAATCGAATTTACGTGTTTACTTGAAATTAGTAAATACATTTTTAGTAGCCTACATAAAGAGACATAACTTTGACCAAATTACAGACAAGAATCTAAATCCTTGATAATTTTAGTAACAGATCTGACTGAAATCATATAAATCACACTTTTCCTGTATAATGAAGGAATAGGTCCAGGCTAGGAAAGCAGCTAGAGAAGGCAGGCCGATTGTATCTGTGAGAAAACTTTGTGGAAACTGGTATTGAGGATTACCTACTGGTGATCCACTTGCACTGGAAGCATGATTCTGAACTATTGCTTGCTGATTCTGAACTATTGCTTTGATCATTATATTCTCCAAGAAGAAAAAGTGAAAATTGATTGCAAAGAACTACTAATAGATTTTGAGTTCTCATCAAGCACCTTCAATCATCAAAATCACATGAAGAAAATAGACAGGCCTACTTTTTTAGATGAAAACAAGTGTCTTTAAAAAAAAACAAGGAATTTAAGTAGTCAGGAAAAGGACTTGTACTTTACTACTGAATTATACATTTTTTTCTAATGCTGGGTAACAATAAATAATGGATCTATTAGAAAGCTCTTAAAGCTCATATACACAATGGAATTCTATGCCTCCATCAGAAAGAATGACAATGCCCCATTTGTTAGGAAATGGAAAGACTTGGAAAAAATTATATTAAGTGAAGTAAGCCAGGCCCAAAGAAACATAGGTCCCATAGTTTCCCTTATTTGCAATAACTAGTATATGTCTGAGACAAGCAGAAAGGGTCAGATAAGTTGATGCTAGGCAAAATGAACCCCAAGATAAGGACTCAAATCTGTTTTTTTGTGTGTGTGTGTTTTTTTTTGGCGTCCGGTCGTGGGGCCTGAACTCTGGGCCTGGGCGCTGTCCCTCAGCTCTTCAGCTCAAGGCTAGCGATCTACCACTTGAGCCACAGCGCCACTTCTGGCTTTTTTCTTTTTGCTTATGTGGTGCTGAGGAATCAAACCCAGGGTCTCAGGCATGCAAGGCAAGCACTCTACCACTGAGCCACCTTCCCAGCCCCTCAAGTCGCTTTTCTTTCTTGCTATTGTTTCTAACATATTTATAAGATGATTTCTTTGTTGCTTTGTATGTCCCTCCCCCATGGTATAACCTCTGTTTTCACTGTATTTGGTGTTGGTATAATTTGTGCAGGGGAAGGGAAAAAAATTGTTTAAATAGGTGGACCTATTGCAACAATGAGATGTACAAGATGTTACGTTGAAAATGAACTTTACAACTTTGGTGTGTGTGGGGGGGAGAGGGGAAGGGATGGAAAGGGGAAACAAAGGAGGAGGCAATAATGCTTGCTAAGAAATGTACTCATTACCTTGCCATGTAATTGTAACCCCTCTGTACAGTATTTTCACTATATATATATATATATATATATATATATATATATATATATATATATATATAGTACATATTCTCTCAACTCTTTCTTCAGGAAGAGAAACTATATTTAATGTATTATTGCTTCCTGAATCTTCTGTTCCCAAACAAGTGTTCTCCAGTTTGATAAGCAAGATTTTAAAGTAATGTCACATCCAGGGATTATTATTATTTATTTGGGGAGGCTGGGAAGCAGTACTGGGGGTCAAACTCATGGTCTCATGCTTGGCTGACAAAATGCTGCTAAGTGATGCTTCTAGCTCTGTTTTCCACTGGTTAATTGTGTGTGTGTGTGAAAATACCATACAGAGGGGTTACAATTACATGGGCAACCACTGGTTATTCTTCAGATAGTGAGGCTCTCACTTTCCAAAGGAGCAAAGGCCTCACCACAATCTACTTACTCTACAGGCTTTCCAGTGTCACTAGGATCACAAGAGTGAACCATGCAATAACCACCTCACTCTATGGAAATGATTGTTCTCTCTGGGATTGCCTGTTATAAGTGATACTCCCAAATTTAGCTCTGCATGCAGCTAGGGTGACAGGAATGTACCACTGCATCAAGCTATGTACTAAGAAGTGGTCTCTTGAACTGTTTTGCCCTAACTGGCCTGAAAACAGTGACCTTTCCATTCTTTTTTTTTTTTTATTGTGAAAATACTGTACAGAGGGGTTACAATTACATGGGCAAGATAGTGAGTACATTTCTTATCAAGCATTGTAGCCTCCTCCTCTGTTTACCCTTCCCATCCTCCCCCCCACACGATCTACCCCCCCAAGTTGTAAAGTTCGTTTTCGACATGACAACTTGTACTTCTCATTGTTGCAACAGGTCCACTTGTTTTTCCCCTTCCCCTCCACAAATTATACCGACATCAAATACAGTGAAAGCAGGGGTTATACTGTGAGGGAGGGACATACAAAGCAACAAAGAAATAATCTTATAATTGCATTAGAAACAAGACCTTCCCATTCTTACAGCCTCCCAAGCAGCTGTGATTACAGGTGAGAGCCACTGGCACTTTTAGGGATTTTTATTTACTATAACCCATCTGAAATCACAGGAGAGAGAGTAGTACTGACTTGGCTGTATTTGAAAAATTATTGTTTATAGAGCCTTGTTCTAGCTCACTGTTCTATCTCCCTTTTTCTTTAATCTACCATTAAAAAAACTTGTTATCTGTTTATTGATAGTATTCAAGTTTGAACTCAGGGTCATTTTCAGCTGATACTCTATCACATGAGCCACATGTCATATCCTACTTTTTGCTGGTTATTTTAGAGATGGAGTCTCATGGACTTTTCTACCTGGGCTGGTTTTAAACTCTGATCCTCCAAATCTCAGCCATTGCTTGACTTTAAGCTATCAGTACCCAGCCAGAAGTATTTATTTTAAAATTCACACAAAGAGTCTATATCCTCAGACAACTTTGAAGTTGTTATAATTGTGTGGATCAATGGCAGGATAAGTGAAATTTAGTGTGTTTAATTGTCAGGTCATCTAAAAAAAGCCAAATACAAGTCAAGAGCCATGGCAATGCTTGTAATTCCAGCCTTTGAGAGGCTGAAGAAAATTCTAAATTCAAGGCCATCCTAGGGCTACACAGTGAGTTCTAGGTCAGCTTGGGGTACATAGCAAGATTTTTTTTTGTAAAGGGAAGGAGGCAACTTCCCTAGAACTGGAAAAGTATTTCCCCACAGGCTAGAAAACAGATGTAAAAGTATGCCTGTTGGCTGACATCCTTGCAGATTGTCAAGTAAGTTTCTGAATGCTGTTATAGAACAGTTAGTTTCCTTACTGACAACTGTTTGGACCACTGACTTCCACATTGTTAAAAGAGAAACAAGCTTTAAAATAAAGTAAATT